GCACCCCAAAAGCTCATCCAAGCCTCCCCCCCACCTTGCCCTGCAGCAGGGACGACTGGATCAGGCACGGATGGTGCATCCAGCTTCTTCCCGCGTGGTTTTCCAGGGAATTTGTGGTGTCACTGCTAGGGGAGCAGATGGCTCTGGCCGTACCCCAAGATCACTGCGTGGGTGTCAGTGCCAAAGGGCTCCAAGTGCCTGGGAGCAGCTGGAGTTTGGTTTTACACCGTGGCTGTGATCCCACTGCGTGTCACCACCTGGAAAAGGCACTGGAGAGAGCTGGGGAGGACACCCAGTTTTGTGGGTACTGCCGGATGGGAGCAGAGCTGCACCCCAAGGATCACCAGTGCTGGCACTGATCCCACAGAAACAAGACTGAACCATGAACCCTTGATGGGTCCCAGTGGATCCCAGTCAGTCCAGATGGGGTCCAATGGATCCTGATAGATCCCAATGGGACCCCGCCTGACCCCCAGGCCCACACAGCACCCCATCCCAGAGCTCTGGAATGCCAGGGGGATGCCTCCCTCCACCCTTCCTGGCTCCCAGGGGTGGTTCTGGCAAACACTTTTCAGCCCAACCTCTCTATTTACTTTGCATTCAATGAGCAGCTTAATTATTAATAAGCTGCTGAGGGAATAACTCTTTGAGGGGAACATGGTGCACCAGGCGTGTTCCTGGGGCTCCCACAGGCGCAGGGTGGCCACGGCGCCAGCGGCTGAAATTCCCAGCCAGAGGACACGGCTGCACTGACCATTTCCTCACCAGTGACCCCTGGGACAGGCCAGGCCTCACAGCTCTGCATCCCCGTCTCAGTGTCCCAGTAACTTCCCAGCTCCCCTGGGGCAAACCAGAGCTTGCTTTTGGGTTTTCCCTATTGGATCCACTCTTTTTAGGGCCAAACCCCTATATCTGCCATACACAAGGCGTATCCACCTGCTGTTTGCTCCTTCTGATCCCATAAATCCATGTATGCTCTGGTTTTGGCAGGCCCCATTCCACACAGGCACAGTGCTTCCTACCCCTCTGTTCCCCTTGCACACTCTTATGGGTGCAAACATCCAGCCACACATCCCCAGGCTCCCTGCCCCATAGAGCTGCTTCCCAAGCATCCCAAGCCCCCCCCCCCAGCATCCCATAACCTCCAAATATCCCAATACCCTGTCAAGCATCCCACTGCTCCCCAGCCATCCTGCTGTCCCCCAAGCATCCCTCTGTCCCCCAAGCAACCCAACAACCCCCCAAGCATCCTGCTGTCCCCTCCACCATCCTGTCACCCTTCAAGCACCCCACAAGCTCCCAAGCATCCCTCTGTGCCCTCAGTATCCGTCACCTTTTCCTCTGCCTGCGCCGCTGGCGCTGGGCTGTCCCTGTCCTGTCCTGGACTGGCCGGGGTGCCGGGGGAGCGGGCGGCACGGGGCGGGGGTGCCGATGCTGCTCCGACATGGAATAAGCTCTTCC